GTATATACATAATTGGATTAATTACAAGTAATCATAATATATTTGTCTGAGATACCAATAATCACAGAATTGGGTAATGAGAACGGGATGGGGGAGTAGGGCAACCATCCTTGTTCTCCTTGACTACTCACTAGCCTTCAATATCATTGGCCATTATATGCTTTTGAGTTGGCTATGGGGCAGGGGCTGGGTTACATTGGTTCAGCTCTTTTCTCCAAGGCTGGTCCCAATCGGTGAGAATAGGGAGTGAGAGATCCAGTCCACAACCCTTCTCTTGTGGCGTGCCCCAGAGCTTGCTCTCTCCACTCCTCTTTGACATCTACATGAAGCCACTGAGTGAGATCATCTGTCACCATGGATTGAGGTATCTTCAGTATCCTACTGATACTCAACTCTATATTTCCATTCCTGGTGATCCAAGTGCTGCTGCTGCTGCTCTCTCGTGATGCCTGAAGGCTGGGGGAGGGTCTGGATGGGGGACAACAGGCTTTGACTGAACCCTGGCAAGACCTAATGGCTTTGGGTTCATGGAGCCCCAAGATCCAGGATTTTTACATCTTTAGTTCTGGATGTGGCAGCCCTGCCCCAGACGATCTGGTCCATAACTTGGGGGTTCACCTGGACTTGCGACAACTGTGTTCTGAGTCACTGCACTCAGTCATTCATGCCCTGGTCATCTTGTGTTTGGACTACTGCAATGTGCTGTACATGGGCTACCCTTGAAGAGTTTTTGGAAGCTACATCTGGTGCAGAGCGAGGTGGCGCAGACAGTTTTCAGAGCCTCAAGATTGGCCCATGTAATACTACTGCTCTGCAAGCTGCAGTGGCTGCCTGTTTGCTTCCAGGTTCAATTCGAGGTGTTGTAATTATCTTTAAAGCTCTTCATGACATGGGTCCAGGTTACTTGCAGGATCGTCTGATCCCACTGGTACTGGCCCCATCCCATCTGTGCCAGCAGAGGAGGCATGTTACAGGCCCATTGGTCAGGATATTCCGGCAGGCAGGATCCAGAAGAGCCTTCTCTGTTATTACACATGCCCTCTGGAATATCTTACCCTCTGGAGTGAGGTTGGCTCCAACAATCCTGACCTTCCACAAGAGCTTAAAGATTGTACCTGGCCCTGCCAGTTGACTTGGGGGTTCAAAGGAGGGGCTTCATGTTGGGGGTGTTGATAGATTAATATAAGATGCCACCACCACCACTGCTCATCCTACTCCCTCCCCATCTTTTAGCTATTGTATTCTGTTAGAACCAAGATATAAGAAAAGCATTGAATGTGTTAAAATATATACATAATTGGATTAATGAGGAGATGTAATCATAATATTGAGAATCATCAATATTGCATTGGGAGCCTTGCAGAGAAAACAGGTGATAAATAATCTGAAGGAAGAACAATAGAAGCTCAGAGTTTTCTGCTTCTTTAGTTCTCCCCAATTCCATAGCAAAATATCTTATGTGATATTGCAACTGCTTGGATTAAAAGTAACACCATGGCAAAGGCATTAGTTGCACTGATGAGAAAAAAACTCCTTGGTGTAGTGTCTATATTATAGCTAATGTGTTGGAAATCGAGATCTGACATTAACTACTTGCTATATTTTAACACATGATGTACCAAAACAGTACATTGAAGAAATAGCCGATGCTCTGATGTACTGCCATGCTCAGAAAGTGATCCATAGAGATATCAAGCCTGAAAATCTCCTTTTAGGATTAAGAGGAGAGCTGAAGTTGGCGGATTTTGGCTGGTCAGTGCATACACTTTCACTGAGGTAGGTCGCTTGCTGGCATGCATTTCTTTATAAAGAAAAAACAAACAGGAGAAATGGCCTATAAGCGAAATTCAGACTATCTTAACTCATGTGAAACTAGGATGTCTTTGCGTGGCGAATTTGGGACTAGGAGAGCATTTCAAATTCTAGAGCATAGATCAAGATCTTTTAAGCTATCAGCTCTGCACAACTCTATTTAAAATATGAGTACACTGAGTATGACAATTCAGATAATTAACCCAAATAATGCTCCAACCTGTTTCCTTCTTTACTTATTACCCATGCATTTTGGATCAATGTCCAAGGCCCTGTTTTGCCTTCCTTTCCCGCATCCAAATATGAGATATGGCTGGTAGATCAAGTGATAGAGCCAACAGATCCTTGTTGCCAACAGTCATCCACCTGGTCTCCCACAATTCAAGCACTATTTTTGGTGGCTACAAAGGCACATCTGTGTTGCCTTCTTTGTAATAGTATGGAAGTACTGTTTTCTCCTGGTATATTTTTGAACTCCAGTCTATCTGGCCTTAATAATTCTGCCTTTAAATGAGCAGACTGTCATGGTTCCAACAGATGAAACCCATCGAAAGAACTTCAAGGCAAAAATTCTTCCTTAAAGAATATTTTATTCAAGAAACAAAGTATCAGCACTACATAGTTGAACCCAAAAACTAAATTCCCTTCCCCAGGATACAAAGTAACAAAGTGCAATTCCCACCCCCAAGAAGCTGTCATAAATCACATTCTCCAATTAGCCTAAAACACGGGCTTTCTCCCCAGTTCCTCAGCCCACCAAAAGGTTACTAGTTCGTCCTTGGGTTCCCACAAAGCAGCGTTATTATTATGGCTACCTGAGCTCAAGCATTTATCCCAACAACCCCCCCCCCTCTTTTTGCACCTGATTTCTAAATACCAGAAAAAGCATGTTAAAAGCAAAGAGAAATAGCTGCAATTTTCATCAGTTGTCAGAGTGGGAGCATCCAATGTTTACAGCATTGACACAGACTTTTTGTGTGGAAAATAGTTAATTGTTTTGTTCAAGCTGCTTGGCTCTGATTTGAGTGCCTTGCTGTTTCTGTAGCATATTATATTAAAATGCTATTAATTGGCCTGTAGGATAAAATAATTTTATTAATCAGAATGTTCTTGTCTAAATAGTTCCCCAGCCATGGTAAGGCTTCTAGAGCAGAATTTCCAGAGATCAAATGGCATTTATATGTGCAAAATACTTGTGCTACAGTATTGCTAATCTTTGGCCTTTTCTGTGGGTAAAGAAATGACCAGTTATCTGGATTTTTTCCCCCCCAGGCTTTGCTGAATCTCTGATTTCACTTGGATTTTACTGAATAGTGACTGAAAAGAAATCACAAACGCAATCACTTGAACACTGTATTTTTTTTCTCGCTTCTCTTTTTAAATAGGAGGACAACACTATGTGGCACCACAGATTATCTTGCTCCAGAAATGATAGAAGGGAGTCCCCATGATGAAAATGTTGATGTGTGGTGTGTTGGCATTCTTTGTTATGAGTGTCTTGCAGGATATGCACCTTTTGAAGCACCTACTCGTATGGAGACATTCAGACGAATAAAGGAGGTAGGTTCTTCCAAACCAAAGGCCTGTAAGTGAGATAGTACTTACAACATTAACTGGAAACTCATGGCCAGATGTTATGTCTATTCATGAATGTATACGAACATTCAGATTACATTTAAGAGACCAGGAGGAACTCACACATGCCTTGTTCTATTCATATGACAAAAATCCCAGAAAGAATTTCAGAAACTTTACAATAAGATGTTTCACTACCAAATTAAGTAACAACATCAGTGCTAGCACTGATAATATTACCTGGTTTGGTCATGAAACACCTGCAACAAAGTTACCAAACTCAAAGAGCACAAGGGCCCCACTGTTCAACCCTGAGCTAAAAATATTCTCTTCTATTGGTTTACAATAAGAGTGCAAAAAATACAATTTAAAGGTTACATGTAGCTTGATGTACTATCCCTTTTGTGGTCTTCAGAGATGGTTGGCTAAAAAATATGGCCCCTCTTTTGTGTTGATCAAGACTTGTTCTGGATCCTGAACTAAGATGCTTTGTAATTCAAGACCAGACAGGGACAACTCAACAAAATGGTTTTAAACAAATATTTAATCCGGGAACCCTTAACAGAAACTTACATTTCTGAAGATCGTCCAGAAGCTGAATATTTGCCCATTTATGTCGGTAAAATCAGTAATTCCTCCATATTCACTTTAGCCTGATTACATACGATGTCCATGCGTGCAGCATGGTTGGTTTGCACAAAGACAATTAAACACGAGCTGGCACGTAGCCAGGATATCCTGTGATGAACTTAGTAGCCCCTCCCACTGACTTATTAACATAGGATTTACTGAACAGCTAAACTACATTACCCATAAGCCATCTCTTAAGGAGATAGCGCTTAACCCTTTAAATGCCAAACATTCTAACATACAGATCTCAAGCCAATATATGCTCCGGCCAGGGTTACCCTGACCCAGCACATTACCCTGATCCAGCACAAGGCTGGTGGGTTTAACAGGAAATGTGGCATTCATCTTACCCTATGAAACTTGCAAATGGGCCCTGGTTGCATCCACAAATACAGTGGGTCTCAACATGCCACAAAAAGCCTGATGTGATCCTTGAGCTGATGGTGATTACATACCCTTGCCATACCATAAGCAGAAAGGCTTGTACCAGGAGAAGCAGCAACAAGTGTTGTCAGTCAAACAGAAAAAAAAACCAGACAGATTGGTTGGAGACCATGGTTCAGTTAAACTTTGCACAATATAATTGCTTTCATAACAAAATCTAACTTTTTAAAAAATTATTTTAAGGTGAATTTTAAATTTCCTCCTTGGATATCAGAGGGAGCCAAGGATCTAATTGCTAAAGTTCTTAACCGTACACCTTCTATGAGACTTCCTCTGAAAGGAATAATGGAACATCCATGGGTTAAGACAAAGTCAAGAAGAATTTTGCCACCTATCTACAATGAAGTAGAAAAGTAAATGTTTGTGGTATATCCTAAAGGCTCTTAGCTCATTTTCTTTGTAAATCTCTCTTGCATCTCTTTAGTTGGCTAGTTGTTTGTTGAATCACTATTGTAAATGACTTTCTCACATTCTTATTTAAATGACTTCTTGCTACTAATGGCAATAACATTGCATGTTAGCTGCATTTGTAAAGTGAGGGTATTAGTCGTTAATATGACAGGGGAAACAAGTGTATTCTTTTAAAAATAAAACATGACTCACAAGGCAATAGCAATTGGGAGAGATGGTATACATATAGAGGGCATATTGCTCTGTTCATAATATCTTCGAATAAGAGAATCAATTGACTGTTATCTCTTTGAAAATATAGTAGTAATATTCTGAAAAGTGGGGAGTAAATAGTAAAAAAAAAACTACTAAGCTTCATCAGGAAAAATACCTTTTTCCTTTTTGTATATAGCCTTCTGCATCAGAACAAGATTTGGCACTGTCAGATCTGTGTTGGGATTAGAGCGGATAAAAATCTTGCCTTAAAAATAAAAAAGCTAATAAAAATAGTATTACATTTACTTCTTGGCTTCTCAAACTGGATTTTTATTTTTTTGAACATTTTGAGGATGCTCAAATTACACATACACCACATACAGTTTGACTCGGAAACTACATAATCAAGGAAAAATCTCTTAAGCCACTATAGCAGGGGTCCTCAACCTTGGCAACTTTTAGACTTGTGGACTTCAACTCCCAGAATTCCTCAGCCAGCTGGGAGTTGAAGTCCACAAGTCTTAAAGTTGCCAAGGTTGAGGACCCCTGCACTATAGTACTGCTGAGTAACTTTTACTTGATATCTAATTATGATTGCAACATATTGAGCCCTAATAAGGATTGGTTTACCAAATGTATTACATTAAGCCATTATGTACCTTGCTCATTTGTAGTTATTTTGCTGGGTAGCCCCAGACTTTAGTATTTATATATATCATGATTTATGGTTTAGCATAACAGAATAACAGTACCTCTACTCAAGCAGGAGACCCTATACCAGGGGTGTCAAACTGCTGGCCCACAGGCCGGTTGCATCATACAGAGGCTGCGCCCACCCCAGCTCCGGCAATGCAAAAAAAGCCGCGATATGACGCATCACGTGACATGGCGAGTTTGACACCCGTGCCCTATGCCATTTCAGAGAACTTGTTGTCCAAGCTCTCCTTAAAAGTTTCCAGTGTTGGAGCACCCACAACTTCCGGAGGCAAGTCATTCCACTGATTACGGTAATTGTTCTCACTGTCAGGAAATTTCTCCTTAGTTCTAGGTTGCTGTTCTCCTTGATTAGTTTCCATCCATTGTTTGTTGTCCTGGCTTAAGGTGTTTTGGAAAATAGGCTGACGCTCTCTTCTTTGTGGCAATCTCTTAGATATTGGAACACTGCTATCACTACAATACTTTACACTGTTATTGTATAAACCCAACTAGTTATAGCTTGTTAAATAAGGCACAGTTAAGCAAACCATTAACATTTCACGAATAAAAGCAAGACCTGTAGTTAAAGCAGTTATAAGGAGTTTGGGATATATGTAAACACGGTGGGGAAAAATGATGAACATAACTTCTAGAATGCTTTCCCATCCTTTTACCAGCAACAGGTAAATAAGAGGCATCTATTTTCTTCTATTCTTCTATTGTTGTATTTCTGCTTTCCCTTCTATTTGTGTCGTGCGCATATGTGCACTGTGAAATAAGAAGTAGGCTGAATATGCTCTATTCTGCAACTGTGATCATTAAAGAAGAGGGGACAAGGTCCAAAATTTAGGAAATGGAAGCATTCCAAGCTTGGCATGGACCGCAGAATATTTTTCCAGAATGTTTTTTCCTGCCTCCCCTGGCTTGAGCAGGGCCATTTTTTATATATATTTTAGCTTTCTTTAGATTGCCTTTCTCTTCACACCAGACTTGGTACAATTTTGTTGTTTTTAAAAGACTTATTCTGCTTTTGGACAGATAAAGTCCTGGATCCCTTGAGGTAATCTATTTCCAACTTCTCATTTGCTTGGAAAAAGCAAAAGGTTGGTGTTCACGGGACCAAGACCACTCAACAGAAGAACCTTATCTGACAAGCAAATATTTTGGCAAAATATACAATTGCTCACCTACAGACTAGGATGGATAAGGCTTGGGGGCATTTGGGGCTACTAAACCATCTCTTTGTGACGTGGTGTTGTGGCTCCGTCCGGTGGGTCCCTCTCATCAGAGGAGGAAGGCTCTGAACATGAAGGAGATGGCCAGGCCTCCCTCTCCAGGCCCTTCCCCTCTGGTTAGGCCTTTGGTGCCTTCCGACGGAGAGGAGTTTGGCCAGGAGCCCGGTGTTTCTGGGATTGGCCAGGAGCCCGGTGTTTCTGGGATTGGCCAGGAGCCCGGTGCTTCTGGGATTGGCCAGGAGCCAGGTGCTTCGGGGATCAGCCAGGAGCCAGGTGTATCGGACTCCGAAGAGGATACGTCTTGGCTGGATTCACGCCAGCGTCGGAAGGACAAGCGTGCGCAGCAGCGGACACGCCGTGCCAGATAGTTCAGCTGAGTCACTGGGCCACACCCCAATGGCTATATAAGCAAGGGGTGTGGCGTGTGAATTTTCGTGACGGACAATTTTTTTGCTGGATATTCTGTTGCAAGCACTCTGGCAAGTTATCTTGGATTATCTCTGTTTGCTGT